AAAACCCTTCAGCATGGCACGAGTAACAGTTAATTCGAACTAAGGAGTTAGTTCAAATTAACATTTAACTGCTGCGTCTAGCCGCGGGCAGTTAGTTCGGACTAAGAGGGATTTTAAAATGGCGGCGCCTGGGAACATGCAAATGAAGCCCGGGATATTCCCGGGCTTTATTTGCAACTCCGGTTGCCCTCATTTGCCTACCTAGCTGGAACTAATGAGCTAGTATAGACATACCCGAACAGATTAAGGACTATTTAGAAAAGCTGCACGTGCCCAAGTCCATGGGGTCAGATCTAATGCATCCAAGGGTGCTGAGAGACTTGGCTGATGAGATTGCAGAGCCACTGACCATTATCCTTGAAAAATTCTCAGCGATCGAGGGAAAGTGGGTACCCCTGGATAATTGGGGAAAGGCATATATCGTGCTCATCTTTAAAAAGGGGGAGGAGGAAGATCTGGGGAACTACAGACCTGTCAGCCTCACCTCAGTCCCTGGAAAAATCATGGAGCAGGTCCTCAAGGAATCCATTTTGAAACACCTGGAGGAGAGGAAGGTGATCAGGAGCAGTCAACATAGCACGCCTAACCAACTTGACTGCCTTCTGTGATGAGATAACTGGCTCTATGAACATGGGGAGGAAAGTTGTGGATGTAATGAACCTTGATTTTAGCGATGCTTCTAATATGGGGTCCCATGGTATTCTTGCCCACAAATTAAAGCCAACAAATTTACGGCCTAGATGAATGGATTATAAGGTGGACAGAAAGCTGGCTAGATTGTCAGGCTCAACTAGTAGTGAAGGATACCTCGATGTCTAGTTGGCACAGCTGGTATCAAGCACAGTGCCCCATGGATCAGTCCTGGGACCAGTTATGTTCAACATCTTCATTAATGATCTGGATGGTAGGTTGGTTTGCACCTTCAGCAAGTTTGCAGATGACATTAAGATTGGGGGAGAGGGATAGGATCCAGAGTGAACTAGACAAATTAGATTTTTGGACCAAAAGTAATCTGATAATATTATCAAGGACAAGTGCAGAGTCCTACACTTAGAAAAGAAGAATCCCAAGCACTCCTAAAGGCTTGGGACCGACTGCCTAAGCAGCAGTTGTGCAGAAAAGGACCTGGGGATTATGGTGGATGAGAAGCTGGATATGAGACATCAGTGTGCCCTTGTTGACAAGAAGGCTAACGGCATATTGGACTGCATTAGTAGAAACATTGCCAGCAGAATGATTATTTCCCTCTATTCGGCACTGATGAGGCCACATCTGGAGTATTTTGTCCAGTGTTGGGCCCCCCACTACAGCAAGGATGTGGATGCACTGGAGAGAGTCCAGCAGAGAGCAAAGAAAATGATTAGGTGGCTGGAGCACATGACCTACGAGGAGAGGCTGAGGGAATTGGTCTTATTTAGTCTTAAGAAGAGAAGAACAAGGGGGGATTTGATAGCAGCCTTCAACTACTTGAAGTGAGGATTCCAACGGGGATGGAGAGAGGCTGTTCTCAGTGATGGCAGACAACAAAAGAAGACAATGGTCTCAAGTTGCAATGGGGGAGGTCTAGGTTGGATTTCAGGAAAAACTATTTCACTAGGAGGATAGTGAAGCATTGGAAAGGGTTGCCTAGGTAGGTGGTGGAATCTCCATCACTAGAGGTTTTTAAGGCCAGGCTGGACAAAGCCCTGGCTGGAATGATTTTGTAGGGGTGGGTCTGGCTTTGATTACGTGTTGAATTAGATGACCTCCTAAGGTATCGTCCAACCCTAACTAATCCTCTGAGAGTCTATGAATACAGCTGTAACCATAAAAGTACTTCATGGGCCAAAAACTGAATTTTCTTTCCATGAAATTCAGAGATTAGATTCTTATATAAGTAGGCTTAGAAATATTAGATTTTTATTGGTAAATGTTGGTAAACTTCAATTTCACTGTACACACATAAACCAATAACAAATTTTGACCAATGATAATCTAAATTTCAAGAGTCAAAGAAAAAAGATGCTGAAAAATGAGAGTATGATTTAGATCTCAAAAGTCTATGATCAGTAAATTGTTGTGACACACACACCTCCCCACCAGTTTCCCACAACTCTTGAAAAATTAAACAGATAAAATTTGGGGAAATGCTTAAAACCCATAACTTTTGCATCTGTGAAACATTTAATTGATAAGAATAAAAAAAAAGATTTAAAATATACATCAATATTATCCATCAGAATTACAAAAAAGATCAATTTTTTGCCATACATATCAATGAGAGTCACTGGGCAAACCATACTTTGCCAGAGGTGTTCATGCTTTGTTATGGAAGATCTAGGAAAGCATCTTCAAATTGTATGCAATAGGACATGGTTACAGACAAAGAGGCAAATAGGAGCTGGTTAGCAAGTAAGTAGCAGACCCTAGAACTGTGGTGTCCAATACGCTAGCCGCTAACCACGTGTGGCTATTTGGCTGGTTGAGTGTGACTAGTTGGCTCACAAAATTATTTACATGTTCAGAATAATGTGGCTAGTTTGCTATAATAGTAGTGGCTACTGCTTCAGAACTGGTTGGTTGCCACAGCCCTAGAAGCAGGAAAATTCCTCTCTGTCTTCAGTTTAGTGGTAGAATTTTTAACGAAGTACTCCTTGTGAGGTACCCCGATAGCATGCCAGTGACCTATACAACTGAGAATCTTTGAAGTGATTTAAGGGGGTAAGGCATTCTGTTCAATTGTTGGCAGCCTATCTCCAGAGATCCCTTCAGAAATCCCAACCTTAACTAAAAAAGGATCATTTGATAAATTCGATCACAAGAGAGGTCTTTGCCACTTTAAAAAAAGCAGACCGAATGATTGCCTTCTGTAACTAGCAATAGCCTAGTGACTGAAAGTTGATGTGTTTAGATGATTCTTTGGTGATTTACATGACATGAGTCTGGAAGGTCTCATTCAGTCCCATTCCTGGGGGACTGAGTTTACATCACAAGACCAGCATAACCTTTACCCATTCTGCACACATATGCCTGGACTCAATGCACCTGTCAACTGAACTCCCCTTTTGGTGCTAGAATTTGTCCCTCAAGGTCAAAGATGAGGCACATTTATGGACATCACCAACCTGCAGATGCTACTATCCTGAAAACAAAGGGCTTCAGATGCCAAGGTTGTTAACCCAGCACTTTGCATTCGTTTTATGAACACAGATTCAACTGCTGAAGCTGAAGTGGCAGAGACTAAATGCATGAAACAGAGGAGAGTTCACAGGAAATCACTCAGAGTTCTGTCAGCTATGGATCTGGAGCATCCACAAACTGAAGAAATATTAGTCAGACTAATTAGACTAATAAGCTGTACAAATGACACTCATACTCAATATTCATATTAGAATACTGATCAGCTCTCAAAGAGTATTGTAAAGACTGTGCAATGTTATATTAGATCACAGGTCTTGATTAGAAATCCTGTTCGTGCCAGCTGAAAGCTTGTGTTACCATGTGGGAAACAGTTAGGTTTAATACGGGGTGGGGAACCTCAGGTGCGGGGGCTGGATGCGGCCTCTGGCTTGCCTGGATCCAGCCCCCGAGGCTCAGGTCTACAGAGGGTCTAGAACACACAAAATCTACTAGCCTGGGCCCCACTAGGCTCTGGTGTGCGAGGGGAAAGTCAGGGGCCAGTCAGTGAGAGCTTGGGGTTTTGCCGGGGGGAGGAGGGGTTGGGTTTGTTTGGCTTCTCACTTGTGAGCAGCCTCCGACTGATTTGTCCCTGGGGCAGCAGCCCTCAGCCCCAAAAAGGTTTCCCAGACCTGGTTTGAGACTTCGCTGAGACATACTTGCCTGTATATCTGGTATGGTGAAAACTGACCGTGGGTTAATCTTTATATGGGAAGAACACAGCATGCATTTGTTCCTCTGCACCTCCTAGGAACCTACTGTGAGGAAATATAGCTATTGTAGGAGAAACAGATCATCCCCCCACCGCAGGGTGAGTGTTCACACAGTACCAGAGTAAAGCAGTGGGTTATAATACTAAGAAACACAGCAGCCCAACACAAACATGTGGGTGAAAACCCTACTACACCTGGAGGAGCTAGCCATATCTTCATTGCTTCCTTGGGGGCAGAGAGAGTTTCCTTGGCCTTTGCCTGTGCTGAGCGTGGCAGGGAAGAGCCCACACTGAGCTGCTGGGGCCTCTCCTCTGCAACAATAGAGAGAGAGTCCACACATTAGAAAAAAACTGCCCCCAGTCATTAATGATCAAGCACACTTTTAAATAGGCTGCCCCCAAGCCACAAGGTGAATTCTCCATCTATTATTATCTATGAGGAGAGGCTGAAGGATTTGGGCTTATTTAGTCTGCAGAAGAGAAGAGTGAGGGGGGATTTGACAGCAGCCTTCAACTCCCTGAAGGGAGGTTCCAGAGAAGATGGAGAGAGGCTGTTCTCAGTAGGGGATGGCAGAACAAGGAGCAATGGTCTCAAGTTGCAGTGGGAGAGGTCTAGGCTGGATATTAGGAAAAACTATTTCACAAGGAAAGTGGTGAAGCGCTGGGATGGGTTCCCTAAGGCAGTGGTGGAATCTCCATCCCTAGAGGTTTTTAAGTCCTGGCTTGACAAAGCTCTGGCTGGGATGGCTGAGTTGGGGTTGGTCCTGCTTTGGGCAGGGGTTGGACTCGATGACTCCTGAGGTCTCTTCCAGTCCTATGATTCTATTTAGAGAGCATGAAGCAGATAGAGCCCTTACCCCCAAAACGTTGTAATCTCAGTCAGAGAAACTGAGATAATGGTTCAAGTATGAGACACTGCCAGGGAAATCAGCGTAGGTGGCTTCTTAGAGGGGTGGGTTTGCGGAAGGGACAAGAGAGGAAGGACATTTGGACTACACAGCACGGGAGGCTGTCCCAATCGTAGGGGAAGCAAGACAGGCCAGAGAGCCAAAAGAGGGAGGAGAAGACAAAGAAGGTAGTCACCCTACAGTAAGTGTGGTTTTTCAGTCCATGTGGATCCCACCATGATCATGCCTCTCATGTGCACGATCGGAGATTTTGCATAACAGTCTGTCAAAGGTGCGTGCCCCAGCTGCCATCTTGTGCTTCTGTACATGGGTATAAGGTGTGATGCAGCCTCAATCCTGCCTCAGTTCAAAGCTCATGGTGCTGAGCGCTCTGAATAGAAGCGATGGAGGAGTCGGTCGTGTGCACCCCAGTTACTATAGGGTAACAATTCTCTGAGTACATCAGCGTAGATTCCACTCTAAGTGCCTGGCAAGCAGTATCCTCCCTGGATAGCAGGAAAGAATATTTCCAGCTGCATTAGTCAAATGATAATTGAAGCACCGCCCTCCTCAACTTAGCATCATAGAGCTGGAAGAGACCTCAGGAGGTCATCAAGTCCAGTCCACTGCCCAAGGCACAACCAATCCCATCTAAATCAACCCAGCCAGGGCCCTGTCAAGCCAAGACTTAAAAACCTCCAAGGATGGAGATTCCACCACCTCCCTAGGGAACCCATCCCAGTACTTCACCACCCTCCTAGTGAAATAGTTTTTCCTAATGTCCAACCTGACCTCCCACACTGTAACTTGAGACCATTGCTCCTTGTTCTGGCATCAGACCTGTCTATCATGACAAGATCATAAGCTTTAACAAAAGCCAGTGGGTTGCTCCATGGAGATGTCTTGCAGATCTCAGATACTGACACATTTTGGAAGGAAAACGATTTGACATACGGTGTATCTATCAGCTGAGATCCACTCAGATTCTCTGTCATGAGATGGCTTCTCTTTTTGATGAGTGGGATAGAGCCATGAACAGGTGAAGAGACAGGCCCTGCCACATTACAGTAACAGAACACGGTTCTTGAAAAATCTGGAGCGTGTAGCTGCTTCTCCCCTAACATTGAACATTGTTTCAGGAGAAACCTGGCAGCTTAAATGATTGATTGAAGTGAAATTCTCAGTCCACTTGTATGTAAGAATTTAGGGTGCGGTCTCAACACAACTTTGGGCTCTATGGAAGAATGCATGAGGGGGTTCGACTATAAAGACTTAGCCTTGCTGAACTTCCTGGCTGTGGTGACAGAAACCAGCATTGAGCAATCCAACAGGACCTTGAAAAAAAGATGCTCCACACCTTTCATGAGGCCTATGGTGAGATTCCATATGGGAACTGGGCTTCTAATATGTGAATAAGTAAAACAGGAGGCCCTTGAGGAATTTTAATACCTCTGGATGCTTAGAAAACTAAACACAACTGTATTGACAAATGGCAAGTTGATTTTACTGCAGAGTGGAATTTGAGAGAAATAAACGTAGGTCCAGCATGTTTTCAGTGAAGCATGTATTTCAGGATCCTTGCTATCAGAATCTCTCCTGGGTCCCAATTGTATTGGATTGCCCAAGGAAAAGCCTTTTCCATTTGGAGGAGTGCTTTCTAGTAAATGACTTAATGCCTGGTAAGAGACCTTCTCGAGCCTGTCAAGAACAGTCCGTCTTATCAGGGGGTAGCCGTGTTAGTCTGAAGCAGTCCGTCTTATCAGAGGGGTAGCCGTGTTAGTCTGAATCTGCAAAAGCGGCGAGGAGTCCTGTGGCACCTTATAGACTAACTGAAGGGTAGGAGCATAAGCTTTCGTGGGCAAAGACCCACTTTGTCAGATGCATGTAGTGGAAATATCCAGAGGCAGGGATAAATATGCAGGCCAGAATCAGGCTGGAGATGACAAAGTGGATCCAATCAAGGAGGAGGAGGCCCACTTCTAGCAGCTGATCTAGAGGTGTGAATTCCAAGAGAGCAGAAGCTGCTTTTGTAGTTAGCGAGCCATTCACAGTCTTTGTTTAATCCAGAATTGATTGTGTCAAACTTGAAGATGAACTGTAGCTCAGCAGTTTCTCTTTGAAGTCTGGTCCTGAAGTTTTTTTGCTGCAGGATGGCTACCTTTAGATCTGCAATTGTGTGTCCAGGAAGATTGAAGTGTTCCCCTACAGGTTTTTGTATGTTGCCATTGTATGTTGTCCCTCTTAGTAATATTCAACCAGCCAACATCTAAGAAGTCAGGTGCCACAATTGCAGCTTTGGGTGCATTAGTTGACCATGATTTTTAGGTATCGCATTTGGGTAGACTGGGAGATGGACATGGGGTGGGCTGCACATTTGCAATCAGTCTAACAGTCCAGTGTGCCTTGGTCGGTAAAGCACAATCAGCGTGACCTTGCTCAGTCTGATTTGGGATATTATTCTGGGTATCAGGGGAATTGGTGGAAAGGCATATAGGAGATCGAGACCATTGTAACAAGAAGATGTCTAGTAAGAAGCCCTCTCCGGAGCAAAAGTTCAGTCAGAAGCGGACGTATTCTGTAATGAATAGGTCTATTGTGGGAGTCCCTCATAAGTGAAGCAATGGTTCTATGATAGAATTCCATAGCAACCCCTTCTGGTTGGTTACTACATATTTGCTTATGGCAGACCACACCCAGCGGTACGGGTGAGGTGACTTCCAAAGGTCATGCCTACCAAATTCATGATCCATTTTGGTCAATTTCACAGTCAAAGGATTTTTAAAATTACAAATACGATTTCAGCTGTTTAAATCTGAAATTTCAGTTTTGTAATTGCAGAGATCCTGACCCAAAAAGGAGTTGTGTGGTGCGTCACACTTCCCCCTGCTTTATAAATATTAATATGAATATGCACAACTTGAAGATGCATTAGGAAAAATGCACCATGTAACATGCCAGTTGAAAAGCTACAATCTGCTGAATGTGTACATTCTATTTCTGTGCATTTATCATTCTGGCATATGAAGTTAGAAATATGAAGTGTGAATCTGTTTAAATGTGCTAACAAGGGCGATTAGTGACACTCTCTTCCCAAAACGAGATAGAGATTGGCTCCTAGAAGCTTATGAAGGCAAATTTCACCAAGCTCAATAGAGCCACAGCAGCATGCCAGAGAGTTATAGCAGGCTTATTTGAAATTGGCCAGTCCAGAGACATTGCTGATGTGATGGTGGCTGAGTTCTATAGGGAGAGCCATAGCCACCAAGATCTTTCTATTGCATTACCCAGGGATATCTAGGGAGAGGATTCTCTGCTTAAAGAAGATACAAATATCCTGTCCAGTGACAGAGAAGAGGAGCAGGTCTCCCCTCACAGCAGCACTGAGGTGAATGGCATTTTTGGTAGCAGGGTCTGCTCGATACTGCTAAGTACCTCAGTTCTAAATTCTTCCAGGGGCGTGCTCAGCATCCGCAGTGATTCTGTTGAAGACATACATGCTGAAGGTTGTCATCACTTTCTCTCGGTGCTAAAGTGGTAGGTGATCCCCTATCACTATCTCTTTCATGTTGTGTGATGCCCAGTAGTTTTCCCTCTCAAGTCTTACATGGTCGTTTCTTGTGGGAAGACACAGAGCTCCCGCTGGAGTCTTTGCCCTTGTGTTCAAGGAAACCTCTCTTAGTGCTGAACTTTGATATTGCAGGTGATGGCTCAATATTTTCTCAGTGCCATCTTCTCTGGACTGGCTTTCGGAAGATCATCTGTTTGTTACCTGGTATCTGTCTCCCTGAGGTCCAAAAAGACCTTCAAGGATTGCTCCAACAAATGACTCCTCTGTTGTGCATCTCATAGCTTGCATCTCCCGAAAGAGAACCACCAGCACACCTGGTACCTACCATATATGACTCTGTCCCGAACAGAAGAGATATCCACTACGCCTATATTAATGGAATTAGCCTACTGCAGGAAGGGTAGGACTTGAAGCCCACAGGCTTAGAGTTTGCTGTGTTAAGGCATCCTGAACAGGGAAAAAAATCACTCCAAACAGGCTGAGTTCATTCATAGCGGTTCTTCAAAGGAAGCAAAAGAGGACTGATTTTATTTATTGTTAAGACTTCTGAGAGGTTTAGTTGGAGCTATAGAGTAGCAGCTTTGACATGCACTAGGTTCTATCGCACAACCATAGGCAGATGGAACTGAGCCACTCCACCCTTTATGCCTTCGTATAGATTAAGCATGTGCAGCTCTAGTGGACGCTGCTGTTCATAACAAAAGAACATACATAAGAACGGCCACACTGGGTCAGACCAAAGATCTCAAGCCCAGTGTCCTGTCTGCCCACGGTGGCCAACGCCAGGTGCTTCAGAGGGAACAAACAGAACGGAATTATCATGTGACCCAATCTGTTGCCCATTCCCCGCTTCTGACAAATCTGCTGCCTATTAAGTTTCTGTGTTCAAAAGACCGATCTTGTGCACACAAGTGACTATAATGGAACCCTGACACATACTTAAAGATCAATCAGCACAGCTCACATGGAGGAACAAGATAAAATACAAGTACAGTCATAATCTGAGTGTGAAGTTGCACAAGGACTGGGAAGGCCAAAGGAGCTAGAAAGACATATAAAGGATTTGAGAGGGAGCAGCGTGTTTAGAGAGAGACAGGAAAGCCTAAATTTGAGTTTTAAATCTGACTCTGCATAAGAAATCCATTTAGTTTAGTATCCAAGAGCCAACTGTATATAGAATCAAGAAAATTGCAGCACATCCTCTCTTTGCCTCCCTTCCCAAATCTCACAGAGGTAATAAAGGAGACACTACGAGATCCCCAAGCTGCAAGCGAAGGCCCAGCAGACATATAGACAAAAAAGCACTTGCGAATTAGAGAGGAACATGAACATAAGGGAGCCGGCAATGGTACCTACCTGAGCTGTAGCTATCTGTAGATGACTGAGAGATGGACCGGGACAGAGAACGGCGACCAATCTTCGTTGGTCGCTTGTTAAATTCTTGCTTTTGGTCAGCAAACTGGATCTGTTAAGAAAGAACTCCCAGTTATATGTAGTATAAAAAAACCCAACAACATTGCCTGACAGAATAAGCTAATCCTAACAGCCTCAAAGACTACATTGTGAGGGGCTATTCACATTATTTCAGTGGAGATAGAGAAGCAGTTTCTATTACATAATAGAGGTATTAATTTGGGTGCATCTTAGCACACATAGCGTAAGCCCATTTCTCCTTCACAAACACTGCAAACTCAGGATTAAATCACTTTTACCAACAGGCACACAAGTTAGAAGAATAAAGATATTTCTGTTCCAGTAACTTGTTTTTTCTAAAACTGAAAACAGTGCAGGTTATTAGTCATAACAGAGGCCCTCAAAAGTCTGTAGAATTGAAGATTATTTATCGAGCAGAGGTCTGACAAGAAATATCGAGAGCGTGGGGTGCTAGCTACCTGCTCTACAAAATACTAAATGGCCGAAATAAAACAACCTTCACAGCAATCGCTCACACAATGGATTATTTAGGATTTGCCATAGAAGATGTGGCTATTGCAATTCTGGGGTGTGGCACTTGTAGAAACACCCAGCCTCTTGACCATCTAAATGTGGTTGCCACAAAGTCAAAAAGGAGAACAAAGTAATAGCTGGATCATACGGTAAAGAAAGGATCACATAATCTTCTCTAGGGTGGAAAACAACAGCTGCTTAACACCGTACAGGAAACTGTTATGTAACAGGTCAAAAAGTGAAAGACACCACTTACAGCTGACACTCCCATAGGAAATTTCTGTTAGAAAACTGTAATTCTCCAGATCAGAATTTGGCCAAGATACTGAAACTAATATTCTGACACTTACAGGCAATGCGCTAGCAGTGAACTGTGGTATAAACGCTGTATGGTGTGGCTCAGTCTTTATTCTCCCCCTGTGAATAGATGTGTTTGTTTAACTAATAAAATGATGGGAAGAGAGTGGTAACTGCCAGCCCGGCAGATAGTCTGGGATCTGAGACTCAAGCAAACTTTCTTCCATCTCAGGCATCACCACCAATAATCAAAATCCTACCGGCTATGTTAGGCTCTTAGCAACAATTGGGCAATCCCATTACTTTCAGTGAATTTATATACAACAGACTGGAAGATGGAAAATAATTCTTCTGTAGTACACGGGGGAAGAGGGGGGCGGAGGGTCTCCTTGAGTTGTCTTGCCAAGCTAACAGAAATCAAAACTTATTTTTAGTTCATCAGGTCAGCAGATCTCTTCTGACCACATGAAGCAGACAGAGCTGCTACGATGGCACCATTTTTATATAGACATGATTCAGAGTAAAACCACACTGGAAGCATTACAGAAAAGGCTCACCATCCTCTTCTGCCAATGTGCTTCAACCCCTTTATGGATGTGATAGGGACTGACTGAAACCATATTGTACGTAGGCAAAACATACGTTGGATAGTAACAGCTACCAACAGGACCAGATTTTTTTTTACTGGCGGGCTACCAGAGACAGCTCCATCACTCACTGCCTACTCCCAGACCCTTCAAACTTCTAAAAAGGTGCATCTTATAGCTTTCAGCAAAAGGCTCTTTATTAAGTAGAAATTCAACTTATTTAGAACACACAAAAGCAATCCGAGTTTCTCATTTTCCTAGCTACGCTTCTCTAGCAAATGTTCACCCCGAGCACAAGGTGCTCTTCAAGCACTGAGCTAACATCTGAGGTGGGGACTCAACTTTTAACAAACAGGGAAACTAAAACGAAGACTTCATCTGACTCTTGCAAGATTACAAAGCAATTCAGTGGCAGCATCAAGGACAGACACTAAGTAGTCTACTTCCCTATTCCAATCACTAGTAGTATGCCGCAATTTAGCAAACATTGCAGAGTACATGTCTATTAGTCACAGATATGTTTTTTATGCTAGCTAATTTTTAACATTTTTTGCGTGCTAACATGTTAGCGCTCTCTTACTGAAATGGGAAATAATTCTTCACTTGAAAATTAAGAATAAAGGGCCAGATTCTTCACTGGTATAAATCATCAAAGCTCCATTGATTTCACAGGAAACACTCTGCACCAAGAGAGGATCTAAACAATAAGGGTTAAGCATCTACATCTTCAAAGCACTGTAAAACCATTAGTGGGAATGATTAACCTTTTAAGATATTTCAAGTAGTTAGTTTTGTTTAAGGATTTCTCCTAACTGCCTGGTACTTGACTCCTTTCTGGGAGCAGCTCAAATTGAAGGACAGAATCTTAAGCTGTAATGCTCTATATTGCCACAAGGGACTGCTCACCTTACAATCCCACTCTCTCACTGCTTGCATTAGCAAGTGCAGGGAAGGAACAATATATCACTAACCAGTGGTTCCTCTGTACAATTTATTAGGGATCCTGACTAGGTCAGACTAGACCACTTCATCAGAACATGGCCATGACATGAAGCCTGGTAAGCAGGTAGGGATTACTGGGGCTGATCTGGGGATCTTTCAGGTTTCCAGGGGGAATGCAGAGAACTGTTTGGGAACTTTGGCAGGGCCATGGGGCTAAAAAAATTATTCAGCTGCAGTCACAGCTATGGCAGAAAGGCTTGTAAGAAGGTTTGCGACAACCACCCAGGTACTTCCTCTGATAATCCTACAGCTAGCATTTACTGAACATCTGACAACAAACAGAAAACTGCAAGTGGTCATTCAAAGTAAGGTGAGAATCAGGTTCCACATCCAGCCTTCAAGCAACTCTACTCCTTGTGAAAATGATTCTAGGCACACTACTGTGTGCGCGTGTCACACTGGTGGGTGTGTGCGTACACACAGATTGCTGTTTTTCTATAAAAATGCTCTTTTCACTCAGACAGCTCCCTCAATGACCGGAGGAGCTTCACCCCATCAGATTATTGGCAGCAAATGATGCTCTAGGAAAAGTTAGATATGCTAAAAGGCTACTAATAAGGACAAATAACTTGAATTGCACAATACAGAACAAAAGCAACCTTCTGTTAAAATTCGCACATCTGTTCAAGGATTTTCAACGAAAATACTGTAAAGAGTGCAATCATATATTATAGGTCTCTCAAAGCACTTTTTCCAAAGTAACACAGGAATGTAAGTGACTTGGCCAAATTAGAGAGTAAACTAGTGACTAAGTTACGCAGCACTAGAACCCAGGTCATGTTACTTACCACATCTCGGCTCTAACTCAAGAATCCTGACGCAAGTCAAGAGTGACTGACTACAACAAGGCACTGAACCCCAAAATATGGCAGTTATCTACGAAACCAAGAGCAGCACTATAGTGATGACACATCTTCCTGTCCAGACATCAGTTGTGCTGTAACTAGCATAACATTTCACCAAGTGCCTCTGATGTAACTATATCTTTCCACTCTTATTCACAGTCCTGTGTAGGTCAGTAACTCAAATTTAGTTTCCGTAGGACAATTACTGGAACCAGCTTAGTTTAGTTGCATGTTATATGTGTATTTCTTACCTATATGTGTACACACAACATGATGGTGATATACACAATCATATTTTGTGGAGGTATGATTTTTTTTAAAATGTCAATTTCTAGATCAGGAGTGCAGTTTAGAATTGAAATCTCTGCAATAGAGGCATGCCCTACCGACTAAGTGAGATTTTTAACCTTCATTGTCAGACCAAAGAGGCATGCCCTACTAAGTGAGATTTTTAACCTTCATTGTCAGACCATAATTCTAATTTAAAACACTATTAATTCACAGCTTGTCTCCACAATGCTGTGCTACCCCGAGAAAGAGCTGTTTTCTGGCTGCACCTGAGACAAGCTACCCCCATACTCTGTAATCAGGTTTCTCCCTTGCTATTTGAGACCAACACAAGCAAGGATACTGATTACATGTAGGTCTTGTTTATCCCAAGGAATAAAAGTCCCTCTCAAGGTAACAGTGTTCCAGGAGAGTTTATGCTCAGGTGATAAATTCTGAGACCCTTAAAACCTACAACCATTTGGATTTAGGAGACTGATCTGCTTTGACCACTTGTGGTTATATATACACTGCTTCTAACAGCCATGTAGATCGGTGGCAGGAAGGAATGATTCAGACTGGAATTGTTACCAGAGCCACAAGGGTTAATGATTTCTAAATGCAGGTGCATGCTCACTTCTTTGTAAAGAAGTGAGATAAAGCTCCTCTCTTCCCAAGGATGCTGCCTACGAGTCCCATTTTAAGACCAGCTCTGCACCGATTCACAAAGTTCAATAGCATGTATGGCCATCAGCAGCTCTGGTTTTCACATACTGGTTTGTCCTATACAACCTCCCCGCCCCCAATGTCCATTATACTCTCCCATAGCACGGCACGGTCTGAAGAGAAACGACTGAACAGCTCTAAAATAACAAGTTCAGCTCAAGCAGCGGCAGTTAAACCCCCATTCCCAAGAGGAAATGGACAGACACAGATGCATTCTCTGGAGACTATGCTGCATTCACACCAGGTGAAGGGGCTTAGCCGATACCAAAAGTAAGTGACTGGAGAGAAAGACAAACAATTGCACGTTGTTCTAGAAAGTCTACAGTACAGTACCTAAAGGTTGCCCTCACCTGGGCTTTAATCCCTGAATCGCCATTCACTTTGTATTTCTTCTTGTTCGGCATAGCGTCACTAGCTACAGCCCTTCTGCAATCCTTCCAGTCCAGTGTCCTTTCTGGCCATTCATTTATACATCCAGCATCAGAAATCCTGTCTGCTCTGGTTTCAAGTCTCTTTTTTACTGGGGGGTGGAGGGGAGTGGAGGAAGGCAGGTAAGGAGAGGGCTAGACTTGCCTGGGTTTCCAGCTCCCTCTCCAATAGCCCATTTGGCAGGGAAGAACCCCAAGATTTAATGAGGCATTTCTGCTAGCATCTAACAAACAAGTCCCGGCATTTTTTTCTTTTTTGTTTTACACCGGGTTACAATGTTCCCTGACCTCTAACCCATTAGCAGCAGTTTCTAACATGGCCTGACTTGTGCATGCATAACAATTGCTTATTTATATAACCGGTAC